ACGTCAACTAGGCAGTAAAAAACGCTACTATTGCGTGGTAAATTAGGCAGATTATTATTAAATACAAAAAGAGAATTGATCAATAGTAACGTTACTTGTAACATTTAAAACAATTTGACGGCAAAAACAAAAGTGCCTCGTACGAAAAAAGACTACAAACCAAGGTCAAGAAACAGTCTCTACAGCAGAAAACATTTACATTATTTTCTTCTCCTATCCTTCATTCACTAGCAAAAAAACATTACAGCAATATATTGACTTTAATCCCCACGTAATCTGAAAAACAGCTATTTTGGTCTGAGTTTAAAAATATACCGTGATGGAACACGTCGTTGCATCCGCTGACGTGTTACACGAATACAGTTTATTTCAAAATCATTTAGTTTATTTTTGGACTACCTATACCTAACAGTAGAAAAATAAATATGGAAATTTCAAAGCAGAAAGATACGGGTTTTCCTGCCTTTGGTGGTCGGACAAAGCTGTTGTAATTAAAGGTAAAATTCGCATATAAATATGTATAGAATATGATTTCGAACCTTACTGTTTCCGGAAAAAAGTAGCTTTAAGAACTAAATAGACTACCGGGTTACTGCTACGGGCAACAAACAATAAAATATGTTACATCCGTACGTACAAATCGCAAAATCAACACAATAAATATATTAGAATAGAAAATCCACTAATTTACGTCCTCAGAACCCTTCAAATTCCAATCAAATTTCACTTATCTAATCAATGGACCGATGTAATAGAAATCAGTGTTACCCTTGGCCTTTTCCAATAAGGCCCTTATTACGACAGCGGGCTGTCGTTAGGCCCTTATCCCCCGTAAACTGACAGTGCAAGGCCATAAGGTCTTATAGAAGGCGTGTTTATCGAGTAATTTCTTATACTATCTCCATTTTATGAATAGGGGTGAGACCCTTACCAATCTGTCAAACAAAGGTACTGTTTTCCATAAACTATGTGGCAAAGTTTCATCGTTTAAGATAGGGTAATATAATTGTGATGCTGATGGCGGCGTGTTATAAGGATTGATAGTTATCTAAGCGAGCTTTTGTTTTAAGACTTTGTCATTATCGTTACCAAAGCCTCGTTCAGTTGATTGGAAGCAATCGGCACAACCATCATGGGGTCGTGCAAGTGTTATTATTACACGCCGAAATTTTATCACTTCAATGCAATGGTTATCACTTCGGACAAGCAAGCCCGTTTGTGCCGAAACATTGATCTCACCCACACATCAATCAATTTACTTTTGAGTTCCAATAAAGAAAAATCTGAATCAAATGTCCAAGAACTTCTGACAGCCCTATACAGGCAGGTGTTCCTAGCTACATTTAAGAGCAGGTATTAAACTAAGTCAGGTAGCAGGTGCTCGGTGCTCTGAATAAATTTAGGTCTAGCTAAAAGCCTGACTATATTACGGCCTTAAACTTACATGTTTAAACAATCTGGGTGGTATGTTACATATACTAAAGGGGTTTTTTTGTGAGAGGAAAATCATCAAATGACTGCGCCCGCCACTCTTACTAACTATAAACCCTCGTTTCTCCTCCTACTCTAGGCCGAGGCCGCGGTTACTTATCACCTCTTACACCTATAAGGAATTGAATCATCAATTTAATATTATAAAGGAGTTTAATTACCGTTGTTGGGGTTATATACAGGATTTATCCTGTTATTTGGAGTGCTTCTTGAGACACGCACAACTATCTCGTTAGTATATCTTCTAATTTGTACCTATATATAATTTGGGCATGTATTTATTCTGATAACACATCTATTACATATAAGTATGATGTACACCCATAAGTAATTCTCAAATTTTCGAAACAGCGAGTCAACAACATCAACAAACTACAAAGTCGAATTCTTGCATCTACTCAGAATCCTTCGAGATTCACTTTAATAACCATAAAAAGTTAAGGTTTTAAGTATTAAAAAAAGTTATTATTATTTTATGTCTCTGAAACATAATGCTTACCCTTGAAGATTCACTATAATTGGTAGTAAATCTACTAAGTATAATGGACAATTACTGTTTTTATTAGTAACTATTTTCTCACAAGACATAAATACATTACATAGCCAACAATAACTCAACGTGACTTCTATTGTAAGTACCTAATAGTGCACATAAATATAATATTATTTCGTGCTAAAGGTATAATTTTTTGTTATCAGGTAATTTAATGACATGAGACAGTACAAAAACAAAATTAATTCACAGTATGGTGTCATTTTCTATAACAGCTTTTTTTCTTTTCTACCCAGATTTTTTAGGAAACAAACAGATTCTTACAAACGAATGATTACAATATAATTTACACATACAGACTTTGAGTTCCATAACGTAATATTTTAATAGAAGGCACCAATTTCAAATATAAACTATCTTAGTCTTCATTTAAAAATTAATTAAAAAATATTATTTTAATCAGAGAAATATAGGCGTACCAATTTGAACGTCAAACTCATTCTTACTAATAAATATTATAAATGAGAAAGTTACGATGCTTGGATGTTTTTTACTCAATCACTCCAAAACGGCTGGACGGATCAGGATAAAATTTGGCACAGGCATAGGAATAGAACGTAGGCTACTTTTGATCAACATACCACGCGGGCGACAGCTAGTTATTAAATATAAAATGTTAAAGTGTCAGATTGTAGGCCTAAAACAGATAAAAAACAATAGACCATAGGTCTGAAAATTCACATATTCTGTGCATCAAAAACTCGTTATTTTCTTTTGATCATCTTTTCTTCCACTCTATCTAATTAAAGTCACTAATTCATCATTATCGGTACATATTTGAAGAAATAGCTAAAGAGAAACGTTAATTATTTTCCGTACGAATAATACATAACGTTATGTGTAATCGCACCCGTTTTTCATTCAAATTATTTCGCTATCATTAATGTTCTACGAGAAGCCTATACGAAAACCAAATACCTACAATTTAGCGAAAGTTTTCCCCATCAAATAGATATAGAGATGTGAAAATTCTATCGAATAACATACCTATTACAATGCATGTATACAGGACATAAATTATTTCTATGTTGAAATTAAAATGTATTCGGGTCGAAAAACGGATATTGTAGACGACGCAATTAATAATACAAATAGATTATCCGAGTACATTATTTGCGTGGACAGAACCTGTATTTTCGTACATAACTAGGCTTTATATGTGCATACATATTTCTAGGACGTAGGTCAATGAACTCACCCTGAGTTTGGTACAAGAGCCGAAATATAAGCGCGAAAGTAGAAAGTTCGTTGCACGACGCATATAGGTTTTTAATGATCCTTTGGCGTAATATTTATTAGTTGGTACCTAAAAACTAAGCTTAGATTGATGTGTTGGTATGTATAGCAATGTTCATGTTTTTTTTTTATTTTTTATGTTTAAGTTTTACACAAAAAACTGTTGCTTTATTCATGTTTTAATTAACATTTATTACATAACGTCACGCTTCCATATCCTCTGATAATAAGACAGAGGAATGTTCTAATCCAAGTCATTATTATTATTATTTTTTTTACTTTTCAGAAATAACTTGCTTAATCCATATTTTTACTAAGGTCTTATATAGCAACCGTCTAGGTTGATGTGACACGATACCTTCTCTTAGATATTAAAAAAACTACTTTAAAAAGACAAACAAATTTAACTATTAAGGTAAAATGAATTATCTAACCTAACATCTACAGGACTGTTTAAGTTTTAAAACAACCAGAAAATAAAACTACTCAGATTGTAGGTATCCAACATTCCACATAAACTGGGTAATGCAGGAAATATTACAGTGAATACCATCATTAGGGTTCCAACCGTTCACTTTTTGCCGGCTTTAGGTAATGCCAAGCATTTCCTTTGGCGCCGTTTCTGTTCCAAAGCCTACATTTACTCAAGCTATTTTGGAAGATTTCGGAGCCTGACTGGGGAAGATTGGCAAGACTATAAAATATATCGGGATATTGGACTGTTTCTGCAAAAGATAAGACTTATATTGTCTGCTAGAACTGTATGTAAATTGTCATTCCATTTTTATTTCGTGTAAATCAAAGATTTATGTATAAAGTGGATTTCTTTGATAAAATAAACAGAGTCGATTATAAAATGTAGTTGTGGTGTTACTAGTTTATCAGGGCGAGCCTTATTGCGTTAGTAGGATCATAATACCTTAAATTCATTAACCTTGTCATAACATGAGTGTCGTGAGTGTTCGAAACCTGACAAGTATCAATATGACTTTTTCCTGACAAGTATCAATATGAGTTATATGTATGTACTTTCTGTGAAATATACCACTGACATACGGGAAAGGACATCGCCACTTTGAGCAAAGTGATGGTTCATGCTTAAACCTTTTCCGTGTGAGGAGAGGCTTTTGATCAGCTGTGGGCACTTTAGCTGAAGATGATTACATTAAAGCAATCACCAGATAAGACTATCCTTAAATAAAAAACGTTCTATAGATAAAATCTTTCGATTCTATTAAATAATTAGGTATATTGTATAAAGATAATTTAGGTACCTACTACAGGTATAAAAATAGATGTTTTCGTCTTTTTCGGAACTTTTCGTGGAAAATGTGCCTTTTTGTAAACTGAGTTTTCATCAGCAGATTGGCATAACAGGTAGGCTAGTTTAATTAAAATATCTTCAAGAACAGTTTTTTAACCCATAATTGTCTTAATAGGTAACATTTTTAGCTAATGATAATCAACTTAGTTTGGTCTACTCATAAAACACACCTAAATATAATTTCTTTCTTTAAATAAGACTAAAGATATACCTAAATATAAGACTTTCCACTCACGACCTTTTAACATGTAACCAAGACATCTATCGCTCTAAGATAGGCTGATAGATATATGGCATAGGTATTTCGTTGCAAGACATTATATGGGCTTCTTTCTTTCTTCTTCTAATAAACTGCTATAGTACAAACTTAAAGAAGAAATCTTATACTCCACTTACCAAGCAGCAGCAGGATGAGCGGATTCTGGAACTGTTCTATATACTTCTTCCATAGCGGTTCCTGCTCCTTTACTTGGAATTCGTTGGGGCCAACAAAATTCATTCGATCGTTTGCTTCCCGCCATGAGAGGCCGCGACGAACGTCCACTTTCAGACGTTCAGCCACCTGGAGAAAGAGAAGGAAACTTTAATACAACCTTTGTTACAGTTATGAGATCTTGGTACTAGATCTGACAGTCCATCAACAACATCACACTAGTGTTTTCTCCCGTTTCGTGGGTACATTAACAAACGTACAAATTTATATAAGTACACCTCATACCCAGACCGGTGACTACAAATTGTGGATCACACAAAGTGTTACTTTAGTTTAGATTTTCGTGCTGGAATCAAACCGTACAGCTGCCAGTTGCCCAGATACTACTCTAATTGTACAGAAGTCTTTTTGGCATGCATTAACGACTGCATGCCAAAAAGGCTTGTTGTAGTATGCAGTTTAAAAGAATTATCATGTTTATCATTGAGTGATTTTGCCTCTTTGAGCCTGGCCTCTTACTAATTAGTAGGCTTTTATATTCGCGACAAGAGCAAGGGTGGTGTAACTGTATCTACAGTCTCCACACAGCTTTTTATAAGATAAATAAATTCTTTTCTACACGATATTGGATACTATTATGAATAAAATGACAAGATATGTATGTTTTATTATTACTACCATTTCCAAGGACATCTAAAGGTAATAGATATTGATCATTTTTAAATTAATTATGCAAAGCTGTTTTGTTAGCTGGACTGAAATGTTAGTTTATCTACAACGAATAAAATAATAATAAATTTTAAGGGCGAGTAAGGAATCTGAAGTGTGTCTCAGAAAACAAACTAGTATATAATCCCCGATAGGAAATTTCAAGAACTGATATATGTTTTTAAATTCATTTGCCAAATCACAGACTTTAGATTTACATAAGCTCACTCATTGCATTATGAATATGACAGAAAATCTGTTGTATATTTCTACATTCAAAATTCGAATACCTAGGTATAGAATTTGAGAAATAAATTCCGTCTCCTGTTTCATTTTTGAAAGCTTTTTTACTCATAAATTGATAACTTGACATTCATGGCTTCCCAAAAAGGGCCATCCATCAGACAGTTTTTTAGTATAAATTAAATAATTCTAACAACAACAATAAAGTTGGCAACCCGTGTCAGAGCCAATTACAGTTCTTAGTCCGTCACGTAACCTGGTTTTCATATGACGAGAAAATAAATTTATACTTGGTAACAACATCTCTAAGACACGAGTAATATATTAGGAAATTTCAGAGTTAATGCCTCATTTCAGTAGTGGTATTTGTGCCTTTAAGCGCATGCTATATCCAGAATAATCTATAATTCATTTAAATACTATAGGTATATGACGAAAGTATGATAATACTTAAGTGAATTATTAAAAGTATTAAAAAAAATTGGTACTTGTGTGTAATGTTGGTATTACCGCTGAGGCGCATTGAGGCCCGAGCCGTTAGGTGAGGGTCTTAAGGACTTAAGGAGCCGAGGACGGTAATCATCAATACACACGTGTATCATACGATGTTTTTCCACACACTTCTGAATAAAATAATTCCTTGATAAAAAACCAAAATAAATTCAAAAGAGAGAAAACATGTTTCGTAATGGCGGGTTAAATTAACCAGATTTCCTATGTGCGCGCATAGGCTAATGCTGTAGACAAAAAAAATAAGGTATCTTTTTTTAGGCTTTTCACGAATAGCATTTTAGTGCAAGTGCAAGCATAACTTCACTCATCATCTTCCTGCAATTGTCCCGTTTTATTTGGGGTCGGCGCAATATGTTTTCATCTTCCATTCTGTCCTGTCACTCGTCACGCTATCGTTAACTCCTCTGTCTTCCATATCACTTCTCACACAATCCATCCATATTTTCTTTGGTCTCCCCCTCCCTCTCCATCCATTTACATTTATACTCATGACTTTTTTTGTTACATGCTTTTCATCCCTCCTTTTCACATGGCCATACCAAGACAAACGGTTCCCTTTCAACTTTTCAGTCACTGGCGCCACTTTCAAACTTCCCCTAATATACTCATTTCTCACTTTATCCATTCTCGTCACACCACACATCCATCTCAGCATTCTCATCTCTGCTACATGCAATCGCTTTTCATCCGTCTTTTTCAGAGCCCAACATTCTGACCCATACAGTAGGACTGGCCTTAATGTACTGCAAGCATAACTTCACTAATAATATTAAAAAAACCATTACTCATTCTTGAATAGTAGTAATGAAAAAGTCACAATTTGATTATTACAGGTATCATTATGTGCCTAATTGCCGTGGGATTAAAGTATCTTTATGAGGAAGTGTGTTGAAAAAATAATTAATTTTGACATTGAAAACTACCTAATAATAGCCATAAATTCATCTCGAATAGCAAAAAACTGGCTACAAAATTATCTAGCACGATTCCAAGATACCTTTCACATACCACTTAGATATAATAGATCATGTGTCTAGACTTTCTCAGTACATTCAGTATACAAATCAGAGCGAAAATGTTTCCGAAATAAATTGACCAATCCGAGAGGTATGTCAGTCCTGATTTAATCTGAACGACCCATTCCAACCAATCACAAGTGATTTACTCTCGAGACGTGACTACAGCCACCAATTACAAACGTAGATTGGTTTGAACATTGTAATCTAGTAACAATGGAGTAATTAGTTTGTTTAAATTATCATTATGACAATGGTTTGGTTACAGAAAGAATGAATGGATCAAATATTGTTTAGGTTGAAAAGTCAGATGAACAAATCGTTTTTTTTTAACACTGACTTCCAAATGCGACCGTATGTATGACTCCGTCATTTATGAACCGATTTTGTTGATAATTTTTTGTTCGAAAATATATGAGAGTTTTAGATTTTTTAGGGGTGCTTTATTTGTTCCTTTACTGATTAAGTAATTTAAAGCATTACAATTAGATTTATACTTGATGGTGAAGCCGAAACAGTCGAGGCAACTCTTCGACAGTTTTCAGCGCTGACCTCGTTTACTTTGTTTTCAAATTGTTTTTTTGTTTCATATACAAGACTGCAAACAAACAGTCGCCTCATTGGAGGACAGGAAAGTGGTTGAAGAGCTATTAGGCATTGGGGTTTAAGGGATTGGAGAACGTTGTTTGTGATTGGTGCTAGAGAATTCAAATTGGGGATAAGGGATTATGATAAGGGATTGGGGATAAGGGATTGGGGATAAGTGATTGGGATAAGTGATTGGGGATAAGGGATTCGGGATAAGGGTTTATGGAAATGACATGTTAAATAAAAAAGTTTTTATGAATAACTGCGCAGTGTGCGCTTGTTTGGTGTATTTTTATCACGAAATATAAACTTTGCTCAACATAAAACTTATTTAAAAATGTCGGCGATGGATGAGCTTATGTCACTTATGCCTTAAAACTAACTATTCGCTGTGATCCATTCAGTAGTAATATTTTGCGTGAAAGAGTAACAAACATCCATCATTCAAAACTAAGAAAATTTAAGAAAGTTTATTACCTCATACATACTACATCGTTGTAATTCGAGACACAATAGTAAGACAATAGCTGAGCGATAACCGGCGTTCGCTTGAGTTTTGGCAAACACTTAGACAACAAACTTACCAAATATTTATTTATTTACGACAAAAACAAAAAAGGTAAGATAATAATAACCCAAACAGGACCAAAAACACGACAAATTAAATACAAGCAATATATCTACCTATAAGAATATAAAAAATATTTACTTTTGATAAGGATTAAACCTGCCACATCGAATGCGCATGCACAAACCTATATAAATTAAGCTCATTTTTATATTACACTGGCGGCCCGCTCACGCTTCGCACGGGTCTGTCTCGCTATCAAAGTGTCACTTTTTCCTAATCTTTCCCTCTGCTTTTCTAATATTTTCTTTGATAAAGACCTTCTCCCGACAATAACAAACACAACAAAAAAAGAATTAGCAAAATTGGTCCAGGCGTTGTTGAGTTATGCGCTTACCAACACATTTTGCGATCCATTTTTATGTAAAGATCTTAGATTTTAACTGTGCTAACAATCTTCTTGAATTACTGCATACATAAATTAGTACGTAACTGAGTGAGAAGGAAATACCTCGGCTAACACACTCGAACAAAATCGCGGGAAAGGACTAGTTAGTAAAGTAGTAAAACAATATAAATATTTTTTTCAAGAGCATTAAACCCTGAAACATATAAAATAACTGCGGTACTTATGACAAGGGACCAAGTAAATAAAAAATACAATAAAATATAAAATAAAATGAACAGGTAAACCGCTCAGGTATGTTTTTTATTATTTTGAATCTTTATTCTTTCTTCTTTAAAAACTAACTTGTTTTTCTTTAGTAACCTACACAGGTAGAAATCGTATTTAGTGATTATCAAAGCATTAAAAATATTTAGAAAAAAACCTGTATGCCTTTAAAAACGATTTAAACGAAGCTTGAAATAAAAAAATTAAAAAGATTTAATACAAAAATAACTTTGAAACAGCTTAAGTATACCTAAGTGCCCACTGCTGAGCAAAGGCCTCTTCTCACGGAGGAGGTTGGTGCATTCATCACCATTGCTCAAGGCAGATTGGCGATTTCAAAGTAAGTCAGTGGTATCTATGTAATCAAAGAATGAACCTGTGACTTTTTCCGAGGTTTCGAACCCGAACGAAACTTACCACACCACCACGAAACTTATTATAAAACATCGTTAACTAAAGAGAAAAGGAATCAGCCATTTTCTAAAACCGGACTCGGGTAAGTTAATAAAACCAAACAATACCCCATATATGAAATACTATAAAAACGATAACAGAAATAGAACTAATCACATCATTTCACAGTCGAATGGTGGCAACACAGAAACACGAAAATGCAAGCGTAATATATCTTGAGCAGCAAGTCTTTGATCATTCGCACACATTCTCACTTAATTACTCTTCAAACAGACGGTGAGGTATTAAAATCTTTAAGTAATGCTCTAAATACAGCCAGAAATACAATAAGGTAACATAATGAAGTGTGTAGATAAAACAGAATCAATTTTATAATACTTCTAAGACTTTTTTGGTTTTAGTTTTA